ACCCTGTTTGGCAAAGACTAGAATAGGATTTCGGAAGCACAAGTGAAAAGTCAGTATTCAGGGAAAAGTGATGGAGTAACTGGTGTCACTGTAGGCTGGCAATGAGCAGAAACAGGTATGAACTAAAACTCCTCAAAGCTGCAGAATACAGAAACATAGGAGATAGGTGCGGACGACGCCATTCGGCCCTTTGAGCCTGTGCTGTCATGCTTTACGATCATGGCTGATCATCCAACTCAGTAACCTAATCCTGCTTTCTCCCCATAACCTTTGAATGTATTCAAGAGGCAATAGATATAACATTTGGGGTGAATGGGATCAATGTTTTGGTATCAACTACTTCCCGTGTTAGTGAATTCCACAGGCTCACCACTCTTTGGGTGAAGAAATGTCTCCTCAAATCAGTCCTAAACAGTCTACCCCAAATCCTCATACTGTGACCCCTGGTTCTGGACACACCCACCATCAGGAACATCCTCCCTACAACTACCCTGTCCAGTCCTGTTAGAATTTTATGAGAATCTATGAGATCCCTCCCCGCCACCTCATTCGCCTGAATTCTAGTGAAAACAATCCCAACCTACTCAATCTCTCTTCATACGTCAGACCCACTATCCCCAGAATCAGCCTGTTAAACCTTCACTGCACACCCTAGAGAGCAAAAGCATCCTTCCTCAGAAAAGGATAGCAAAATTGTACACAATATTCCTGGCGTGGTCTCACCAAGGTCCTGTACGACTACAACAAACACATCCCTGTTCCTGTACTCACACTTATATCCTTTATTGGCTTCTTATGTCCTCTTTGCAACTTTGTGTCATAAGCAAATTTAGCTACTGTACTTTCCACCCCTTTCATCCAAAGCATTATGATAAATTATAAACAGTTGAGGACTCAGCATTGATCTCTGTAATACTTCTCTTGTTACATCCTGCCAACCCCCAAAAGACCAATTTATACCTGTTTCTTGCTTGCTAACCAATTGTCTATCTACACTTAGCCCTTACATCATGAGCTCTTACTTTGGGTAGTCAGATTTAATGTGGCAACTTAATAAATGATTTCTGAAAATCTAATCACAGCATACCAATCAGTCCCTCTTTATCCAAAGTGCTTGTTATTTCTTCAAAACAGACTCCAACAAATCAGTCAAACATGGTTTCACTTTCTTAAACTATTTTGACTCTGCCTGATTACATTGAATTTTACTAAGTGCTCCACTACAACTTCCTTAATGAAATATTCCAGCTGCTTCCTTACAGCAGGCATTAAGATAACAGGACTCTAGTTTCCTGCTTTGTGTCCCTCCTTTCTGAAGTAGCATGGTCACATCCACCAATTTTTAATCTGATCAAAATTTCCAGAGCCTAAAGAATTTTAGAAAATTAAAACCAACACATCCACTATTTCAGAAATAAATTCTTTTAAGACCTTAAGATCAAGTCCATTAGGGCCTGGAGACTTGTCAGCTTTTAGGTCCAATTGTATTCCCAGTACTCTTTTCCAGTGATTGTAATTGTTTAAAGTTTCTCCTTTCCTTTCATCCCCTGATTCATATTTCTGGGATGTTAGTTATGTCATATACAGTGAAGACATCTGTTTAATCTGTCAGCAAAGCATCTGTTCAATTCATTTGTCATTTCATTTTTCTATTATTAATTCCCCGGACATACTCTCCAGAGGACCTATGCTCACTTTACTCATTCTTTTCATTTTTAAATGTCTCTGAACATGCTTGTTGTTGTTATCCTGGGCCTCCTCCAGTGTCACAATGATGCCACCCAGAAACTGGAGGAACAACACCTCATATTCCACCTTGGAACCCTACAACCCAATGGTCTCAATGTGGACTTTACAAGCTTCAAAATCTCCCCACCCCCGACCTCGTCCCAAGACCAGCACCTCTCTCATCCCCGCCTCCTTGACCTGTCCATCTTCTCTCCCACCTATCTGCCCCTCCCTCCTCACTGACCAACCCCCATCTCCACTTCCTACCTACACTCGCCTTGACTAGCTTCATCCCTGCCTCCTTGACCTGTCCGTCTTCTCTCCCACCTATCTGCTCTGCTATCCACATTCTATCACCGCTCCCCTTCTCTATTTATTTCAGAGCCCCCTTCCCCTCCCCCATTTCTGAAGAAGGGTCCAGACCCGAAACATCAGCTTTCCTGCTCCTCTGATGTTGCCTGGCCTGCTGTGCTCCTCCAGCTCCACACCTTGTTGTCTCAGACTCCAGCATCGGCAATACCTACTATCTTGTTATTGTTATGATTTCCACTGATGGTACAATTAGATTTTAGCAATTTTACAAGAATACAAAGTTTATTATACATAATTAAGGCAACAAACCAAACTATATATATGTATAAATGACAGTTAGAATGATCTTAACTCAAAACAACAAAACCAAGTTTCCACCTGTTTCCCTGAACTGTCATAGAAACTCAAAAGTCCAAATAATCTATATTTCTATCTCAGCTACTTAAGTTTCAACTTAACTGATTCCTTCCAGATAGTTTTCTTGAAATGTAAAGACGATTTTTACAATTCCTTTCCAAGTTCGATAGCACCAACCTTTTCACAAATCTGATGGCCCAAACCTTTTAATTTTTAAAATTAATAAAAATTTCTTGTCAACGCTCCTGCTTGATGGGTTCACAAACTAGAAAAGCATCATTGCTGCAGTGATTAGTTCCTCCTGAACTGAACTACTAAGAAAAAAATGCTGACAGAAAACCTCCTTTTAGAACTAAACTCTTGTTTCTTTTCTGAAATGAAGTCAAACTAATGACTTGATGTGTTTACAATGCATATCGCAAACTCAAAAGTACAAACATTTCATCCCAATAATCTCACTGTGGTCTGCTCGACTCTTCAACCAATTAATGCATTTAGATTATTGTTCCAGAATTACTTCCTGACCATTTTAAAAAAAACCTTCTCAGGACTAACTCTTTTCCGTATCTGTTTCAAATACAATCCAAATTCAAAAAACGATGATATATTATACCTCCCTCAGTTGATAAAAAATGAAAAGCCACCCTTACTACATATTTTCATTCAAACTGTTCTCCTCAACACTATTTGGTACATCAATACAATTAAATATATTTACATTGTGTTGACCACAATCACCATATCCTCTTCAGCCCTGAACTGATCGCACAAATACTGCATTCAGGAAGGTGTCAGTTGTCTGAAATCTTGATCTCAACTGCAGAGAACTGTGTCTATCTCTCTGACTACGTGGTCTCCTGCTTCCACCACTTCTACTATCTTCCTCTATCCTTGAATGGTTTCCTACACTATGTGCCATGGTTAGTTCACCAATCCACCGCTTTCATCCGCACAAGATGCAAAAACCGCAAAATTGTTGTACAATTGCAAAGCCTGAGACTTCTCTTTCTACCTACCAGGTCCTCATATCTGCTTCACCCACAGACACACACTCCCATTCCTCAGCCAAAATCAGAACAGCCCTACCCTAAATGGTGCAACTGTCTCCTGGAATAATGTGTTTTGGTAACTCGCTCCCTTCTGATGTGTTGTAGTGTCTGTAGTTCAGCCTTCAGTTTGAATTCCGAGTCGAAGCTCCTCAAATGTCGGGGGCTTACTTCAGACGTGTTCATGTTTCGTACTTCCCTTCTGCTAGTGTCCCTTAATTAATAATAAGGTATGAATTTTAAAGCCTGGAGATTAGTCAGTTTTTAGTTTTAATAATTTTTCAGAAACCTTTCCCTGGTGAGTGTAATTGTTTTAAGGAATACCCTCCCTTTTACTTCCTGGTTCACAATTATTGTTAGGATTTATTTGTATTCTCGGCAGTGAAGACAAACTACGTTACTGTTCAATTAATCTATTTCCTTATTTTCCATTCATTATTCCCTAGGCTTGTTCTCCAGATGACCAATGCTCTCCAGATTTTTATTTATTTTTTGAAGATAAAAATGTAAGGAGGTAAGAAGTTGGGTTACGTTTGTTCTTCAAGATGATCCTGGAGTAGTGGGTGGTTTTACAGAAGGAGAGTTTATAACATTTACCACTCAATTTGGAAGTTGCAAAGTGAAAAGTCCAACAAAATTATGTTATTCAATTAAGATTTATGTTCTTAATAAAACAGTATGATAGGAAATTTGCAAAAAATAGGAAACAGTTTTTAACATATTTTAATAAAAATTATATATGTTGGATCGTCATTTCAAATCTAAAATTGTATGAGTGTCTTTGAACAGTTACTTCTTACATAAATAAAATGCTTTTGGAATAGAGTACAAGGCTTTGAGTGCCTATTACCACTGCAACGTCTTTGATGATGCAAGAGGTGAAGTCTCAACTAGAAGGTAGGTAGAGTAACATAGTTTGTCAAACTGAACAACTAAGCAGCAACGTAAACAAAACATTTGGGTGAAGTTGTGCACACTATTTAATTTGGGACCAGATATCCAATGTTGCACATACTCCATTAGGGCTTTTAAGATCTTACCACTAACCTACCTCAGTAAGAGTTTTGAAATATATATTAAATACCACCTTATGTGTTTCAAATTAAACGGATAAGTTTTTATATATATTTATGTTGCATAATAAAATAAATGATAATGTCTGTCCCAGACACTTAAGATGAATTATAATCAATTATAATATAAGGCAATCCATTGGGAGATAATTGTATTAATTGTTAATCCTTAATAGCTATGTTCCATGACAATCTGCAATTGCATGGCAACTCTAACATTGTTAAACATAGCCTTCAAAATTGCTAATACCCAAGTCTGCCGTTCTGCTTAGCTGGTGAACAGTGCACAAAATTTAGATTAATAAAAGCAAAGCAGTACAAATACAGGAAATCTAAAATAAAAACAGAAAACCTGGAGAAACTTAGCACATCTGGCAGCATCTGTAGAGGGAGAAAAACCGTTAATGTTGAGTCCAACATGACTTTTCCTCAGAACTGGTACAGAAAATTTGTTGTTTGAAAAAGTGAATTAAAATAGGCAATATAATTGACAAAACCAAAATTTATTATGTACAAAACATTGCACAATAAATATCAATATAAAAATATCAAACGACAAACATTTTCAAATAATGTTTCAATGTGTAGTTGCCAATGCATATGCAATTTGACTGTGTCTGACTGAACTATTTGATAGACCAAAGTTGGCCAGCTTGAAATAGGTTGATTGGAACAACTTAATTTAAGAAGATAAATGAAGAACTGGACATTGTGAAAAATAAGACCACAGATACTTAACATTTAAATTTAGAAGATAACTTAGTAAGTATCACCTGTTACTGTTACAACCAGTCAAATTACAGTTTTTATTGCAGGAAAATAAACAAGTAAACTGACTGATTATAAAAAGAAACAGGTAACTCAAGTAACAATACAGCCTAAGACACGAAAGGAATAATAGGCATATGACCAGACTCCATGCATCTGCTTCCAGCATGAAAGCTAGCAGTACAAATGCTCATGCTGTTCCAAGGCTGGTCTCATTACCAGTAGTTAGGCAAAGTTCAGATCTTCTAAATAAAACTACATTTACCAAATTAAGAAAAGAAACAAAACAACAAAAAAAATAACAGGGCGCCAGGCAGCAAATTCCTTTGTTGGACACTTTAACATACAATGACTTTAAAGTCGAGATAAACCAAAGGTGACTTAAAGGTAACCAAACTGCAGGCTGTTACATAACACACTGTTAAAGAAATAGTCAGCTGTAATCAGTGTCCACCTCGGAGAACAAAGTGGTCTTCAAAATTTCTTCCACCTGATCTTCCAGGTTCAGGCAAGTCATCTGGGAAAAAAAAATCTGCACTTAATAAAACTGAAAGAGGAAAGACAAGAGGAAAAAATAATCAAAAATGTCACAAGCCGTACAAGTTTAACCAATGGTTGAGAATTAAATATATAATTATTCATGGGAACTCTTTACCAATTAACAATGCATTAATACAATCAGAAAATTGTTTTAATGAAATACATTTTTGAAGCTTAAGTTATTAAATATTCAAATATGGGTTTTTGGCTTTATTTTAACTACATATATTTGCAACAAAATGGGACACATTGTCAAGTTTAAGAATTAAGTTGTACAGCATAGATATTTTGTGCTGTGTGAATCATTTCCAGCTCCACCCAGTTCAGTTTTAAATGTCCTACCTAGGCTACGTTTCTCATTTGGTTGCTTTAAAGACATTTTCTTTATATTAGGCATAGATGCACCTTTAATCAGAGCTTTAACTCCATCCTCTTTGCTCTCATTTACAAAGTGAGCTAGGATTCCATATAGCAGAGGCCTATAAGCAGAAGATAAATTTTAATTTGCATTTAAAAATTGTATTTGTCACAAGACAGTTTTTACATTAATAATTTAAAAAAATTGCAGCATTCAAAACAGACATACTGTGCCACAACACAGTTGAGTTCAACAAAATGTTTTACTCTTCACATAATTACACTGTATCCATAAAGAACTCGATCAGAGACATCCTGTATAACAAATCAGGAATGTGAAAATACACTGTAAAAATGAGCTCCGGTGTTCATAAGCAGTCCTTTAAATCTGAAAATTTTAAGAGGATTCAATGTCTGCTTTATACAAAATCTTCCAAAATGTTTGATATCAATTAAATAACATTTCTGCCAAAAAGTGTGTAAACAACACAGGCCATCTTTTGAACAGACTTAAAATGGCCAAAAATGAACTCTTTGTTCAATACTTTTGTGTAAAAGTTAATATAGATTAAACTAAATGCTGTCATGTATTAATTTCATTTTACAGCTTTCAAATTACAATAAATTCCACACAGCAAAATAAATGGGGATGACACATTTCAAAATACTTCACTTTGGTAGCATCTAGTCTTTTATCCCTTGCCCAGGTACCAATATATAAGCATTTCTAGATAACTTTGAAATTATGTTTTACAATATTTGAACACTGAAATAAAAACCAAGAAATAAAACATACAAATCACTGCTATTAACAGTAATAAAAAGGATAGGATTTACTTACACTGTTTTTGTGCTTGAATCTTCAATTACATTTAACTCATTCACTAGAAACTGTCTGTCTAAAGGTATCTCAGGTTGACCAGCTTCTGTGTGAAAAAAAGTGACACTATTTAATGCAAGTCCTCATCTAAGCAGTTCATGCAAGTCCAGATAATTAAACATAAAAATATAATAACAGCAGTAGGCCATTTGGACCTTCAACCCTGCCCCACATTCAATATCTTGGCTGATCTGCCTCAGGGTTCAACTCATCTTTTGTTCACATCTGGAATCAATGGGAATCAGGGAGCAAGCTGTCCACTTGTTGGGAGTCATACCTGGCACATAGGAAGATGGTTGTGGTTGCTGGAGGTCAGTCAACTCAGCTCCAGGACATCTCTGCAGGAGTAGTGTCCTAGGTCCAACCATCTTCAGGTGCTTTATCAATGACCTTCCCTCCATCTTAACATCATAAATAGGGATGCTCACCAGTGATTGCACAATGTTCAACACCATTTGTATCCTCAGATAATAAAGTAGTCCATGTTCAAATGCAACAAAATTTGGACAATATCTAAGCTTGGGCTGACAAGTGGCAAGAAACATTTGTGCCACACAAATACCAGGCAATGACTATCACCACAAAGATACAATCTTACTATTGCTCCTTCAATGATCTTACTGAATCCCCCACAATCAACATCCTGAGAGGTTACCAGTGACCAGAAACTGAACTGGACTCACCATATAATACGGTGACTATAAAAACAAGTCAGAGGCTAGGAATTCTGTGGCAAGTAACTCACCTCCTGACTCCCCAGAGACTGTCCACCATCTACAAGGCACAAGTCAGGAGTGTGATGGAATACTTCCCACTTGTCCAGAAGAGTGAAGCTCCAGCGACATTCAAGAAGCTTGAAGCATGAAACGTCCCCATCATAATACAAGTACTGGTGTGTCCAGGTGCATACAAAAGGCAAAAGAATCGCAGAAGAATCAATACTCAATCGCTCAGCATAAACTGAAAGACCACAGATCATCTTATCAGAGTTCAAATGTTTTTGAAACAAAGAATGCAACAAGATTTAAAAAGGACCTGAGGGGCAACTTTTTCATGCAGAGGGTGGTGCGTGTATGGAATGAACTGTCAGAGGAAGTGGTGAAGACAGGTACAATTACAACATTTAAAAGGCATCTGGATGGGTATACAAATAGGAAGGGTTTAGAGGGATACGGGCCAAATGCTGGTAGATGGGACTAGATCAGATTGGGATGTCTTATTGGCATGGACCAGTTGGACTGAAGGGTCTGTTTCCATGCTGTATGACTCTATTACTCTATGACCATCCTGGACAAAGTAGTCCACCGCATCCACAAACATATCCAATCCCTCCACCACTGATGCTCAGTAGCAGCAGCGTGCACTATCTACAACGCTACAGAAATTCATCAAAGATCCTTAGACAATGCCTTTCAAATCACTTCCATCCAGAAGGACAAGAGCAGCAGAAACATGGAAACACCACCACCTGCAAGATCCGAAGGCACTCACCATCCTGACCAAGACATATATCACTGTTCCTTCACTGTTGCTGGGTCAAATCCTGCAATTCCTCCTTAAGAACATTGTGGGTCAACATGCAAAGTGTGGACTGCAGCAGTTCATGAAGGCAGCTCATCACCACTTTCTCAAAGGCAACTGGGGACAGGCAATAAGTGATGGCCCAACCAGTAATGCCCACGTCCCATGGTGAATAAACTTTTAAAAATCCTCCTCCACCTCAACTCCCCGTCATTGCAAAAATCTTCCTCCTCTTTAATACTTTCAGTGATCTAGCCTCCATGACTTTCTGGGTTGGAAATTTCCAAACATTCATTTCTCCTTGGGAAAAGGCTTGGATATTCTCAGCAGTTGAAAATGCTCTTCTTTAAAACATACTCCAGTAGCTCATAGGTAAAATATTAATGAAACATCACATCAAAGCTACGATTGCCTTATTATTCATTAACATTCAATTTCTTGAATGTGCTTTTTATCCCTCCCCTGCAAGTTATGATACTGAAGAACCTTTTTCTGACACAAATACAATTTAAACCAAGTGGTTAGATTTCTAATATTAAAGTATAATGCTTACACCAACTTTTCTGGGATGAGCTTGTCAAACTTAGACATGAAATCAGATGCAGGAATCAGCTTGATGTTGAGAGATAAAACCCATGAGGATCATGATGTACAACTAACCTGTGCCTGTTGCTTTTGATGCAGACAGCACACCCAAGCAGAAGGGCCAGAAAAACAGAGAGATTTGCAATGCCTAAAGTCTGTTCTCATCTCTTATAGGAGAGGTGAATCTTAATTGCAGCAGGTGCTCAGAGATGGAATCTATACGCAGTGAGACAGACACTGGACATGGGTGACCTGCAGCTAGGGCAGGGAAAGGGGGAGGAGAGTTGTCAACTTCCCAGGTGACACCCAACATCAGTTCTGCTCCAGGAGACTTGGATGAGATAGGATAAAGAAAGGGTTGTGCACACAAATACTTATTATATTGGCAGACCTGTCAGAAAACCTGAAGTTACTAACCAGGAGCATAGAGACATCTGATATCAATACTGCACACTTTCAGAAAAAGTTGTAGTCTATTATTTCCAGAGTGGCCAATTACATTATCTCGCTGTCAGACACAAAGGTAATGCAGTGATAAATCTCAGATACCTTTGCAATAAAATCAGAAGCCATCCAAATTCTCAGCGCTGCAATGAAACCTCAGATTGAAGCAATGCAGACTCAGCCTGTTGTCATGAATGTTCAAGCTGTTACCAAAATGGTTGCTGATCCCACTGTTCATAGAAGCTTTCAGGATCTAGGGACAATCCAACAATTTATCCTCCAATATATTGCTGGGATTGTAAAAACACCACTTGGCAGACTGGCTGTAGCATCTTTGAGTATTAATCTGCTGTTTTCTTGGGAGATATATGCTGACATCCTACTATTACCCCTCTATCAGTGCCCTTGTTGACACCGTCAGCCAACCAGCCTAGACAGCTGCTAACTATGTTTGTGTTGCCATAAGACCATATGATAAAGAGCAGAATTAGGCCATTTGGCTCATTGAGTCTGCTCCATCATTTGATCATGAATGATAGGAGCAGCTGCAGTCTAGAACTGGATCTCCTAGGCTCAGAGTTGCATGAGGTTGAGCCTTCTTCAGCCATGCTGGAGTTACTGGAGTAGCAAGTAGTAGGAGCTCCAGACAAGGAAGAGTATGCAGAAGATAGGCATGAAGAGTATGCACAAGAGTGATCAGTTGATTTTTGCCAGCAATATTGGATTGTTTATAATTGACAAAGTTGGTTTAGTAAGTTTGCTTTGCAATGCCTTTTATTTCGGCATTGTGGCCAATATGGTGCAATAATACCTAGTGCCAGAGGGAAAGTGTCACTTGCACCCACTTTTTGGCCACAAAATTCGGTTGCAATGTGTCTGCACTTTGGGAACTATAGATGCTTTTTCATATCCAAATGACAACAGTGCCACATACATATGCACTTCTTATACTGGAGAGACTAGATGTTATTTTGGTGAGATTATCAATGCAGATGTTCAGAGCTGGAAGCATGCAGAACAGGCAGATTGAGACATCAGTCAATGTGTAACACTGACATGACTCTAAGCTATGACTTTTTCCAACTGGATCCTCCAGCCAACATGCTCTCTTGAGCTCACGCAGCTGAATAGGTATTCAGCAGTAGGAAGGATTCTTCCAGTGCTACTTAAAACAATCTTCAATGACTTTCAGGTTAATTGCTGAATAAGTGTTCTAATGGCTGTTGTGTTCGAACTGTTTGCAGATATTTTCTAATCAACTAGTTCAGAGATATTACCTCTGGAGGATGTGGAACTTTAACCCAGGCCTCTTGGTTCGGAGGTAGTAACAGTATCACAGTACACAAGAACCCTTTTGGAGGTTTGTACTGTTACTTAAAGTTGGTGATGTCTCCAGGGAACGGTGTGACACGCAGTGAAGACCTTAGCTCTGATTCAAGGATTCTGCTAACACCAGACGTCACAATTGTGGGTGCTCTAGATTTTATTCCCATTGCAGCATGACTGAAAGAATGACCTGCTTGGAAACGGAAAATGGGAAATAGGGGTCTCTGCAAGATCCAAGCTTCAGGCCATAGACACAAGCTCACTGTCACTGTCAACTGACATATTAGTCTCAGGATGCACTGTAACACACTGCAATGAGACCTGCATGCAGCTCTTTGACACAGATTGTGAGAAGCCAATTCTGTCAAGTCAGGTAGATGTGCCAGGGGCTTTACTCAGTCAGGATATCCTGACTGTTGATTACTTCTGAAGTTGAAATTGATTTTTAGGTTCAAAGTATGCCTGGCCTAGATGGTAATTATTGCCCAAGATAGTTACCCCAAAATGGTGGTGATGAGCTGCCTAAATGAACAACAGTTTAGAAGTTCAATACAACTTATGAGACAACTTCAGAGGACATTTTAAAGGCAATCATATTGGTGTGGACGAGAGTCATATTTAGACAAGAAAGGAAAGCAGGTTCCCTTTGCTAAAGGATGTGATGAACCCGTTAAGTTTCTTCTTTGCAAAAAACGAAAGCACATAGCTTCAAGGTCAATTTTATTGTTATTTTATTATGAGATTTTAAAATAAAAGTTTAAAATTTTAATTCAAATTCAAACTGCCAGGTGAGATTTTAACTTATTTCAGATCTATTCAGTCTAGTCTCTGGGATTACTAGTGTAGTAACATAATCACTATACTACTGAAAAAAAAACTTGACAGAATTTACCAAAATAATTCCTCTTAGGCGAAAGCTAAGCCTAAAATTGGTCATCACAGAGCTGCCTCCTGCTAGATAACAGAAACTAGCATCACTTCGGAGTCCCCAAACATTTGCCTTCATATATTATACAGCAAGACTTAAAGAACAGGAATTAAATAAGTACATGGATTTGAATATACAGGTGGATCTCTGCAAATCCATTTTAACAAGATGGCCACCAAACAAGAAGTTACTAGTTGTCAAGTTTACTGGCAAGCCAAATATTTGTTTTAAGTTGAGGTAAC